AAGAGAAGCAAACTCATCTAGTTTGTACTTCAAAACAAAGAAATATTTATTCAATCAAACTGTATTATGAATGAGTGGAAGAGTGATCTCTTGTGATAAAGATGTTCTGCTTCGATGTATGTATGCAAGATCATCAGTTCACTGGTAAAAGGTGATCATCCTTCATTTGCCAGCTGAAGAAGCATACATTGGATTTGAGCTGCAATGGAATGCCAGAACTGAGCCTCTCAAACTTTGAAACAGTTTGGATTCATGCACAAACTTTGTGGCACTGGTCTCTCTTTTTTTTTTTTTAATGTCTGTAAGCTTACAAAAATCAAAGGGTTTTTTGATTATTTATCTAAACTATACCTGTATGTGACCTGTTTCAAAAAAATATAACAGAATCATACAAAATGCATTGTTGAATGTGAAAGTCTGGTCTTACAAAGTACTAGCTTTGCAAAACTATCTGACTCTTTCCCCCTCACCTCATTTTGATTTTAGAAAGAGTTTGTCTACAGACAACTGCCATGTAAGTTGACACTGAAACTGGACAGTTGCTTAAATACCTTAAAATGTACTCATGGTTCAGTGTCTTAAATTAAACTCAGTTTGGCTCCTGCAGTTTTACTAGTCAGTTTTTTACAGAGTTCTGTAAAATATTGAACATATGAATGTGTTGTGTAAATACAGTTTGAGTCAATAAAAACAGTACTTTTCTGAACAAAGCTTGCCTTTTTTTTTTTTGATAGTTTCTTGGTATAGAATTCAGACCAGTACAAAACTTTCTCTCTTAAATTAGGGTAACAAAGTTGTGCTCACAAATGCCAAAAACAGCAGCCAAACCCAGAGGTTGTCAGAGTTTCATATTGGTTTGCTTAAACTAAAGCTATGGGGCTTTTTCCTCTGCTTAGTTGAATGCAGTTGTCTTAATAATCTGCTTCTGGTTGTCTGCTGCATGCTAAGGATTCATTAGTTGGAGATTTCAGGTCTTCAAAAATTAAGGGCCCATCTCCCCATCCCAGCAGAAGATAGGGAAGTGTGGTTGGGGGTTAAGTGGGGAAGGAAAATGAACCAAGCTTCTCTGCTGGACCAGAATGCCTTTAAGGCTTACAAGTTAGAGGAAAGCAGTAGGAGGACAAAGGAAAATGTCTGAAAGATCAGAGCCTTTGCTCAAGTTATTTGAAGTAAATTGTTTATGGAAATGATTCTTTTGAATTTTCCTTCATGATGAAGGAACATCTCTGATGTTGCCTGGCTTTACAGAGAAGAGGAGCAAAGGAAACAGCAAATATAGCAATCTAGGACATATTTACTGGGCATTTTTAGTTGTTAAACACATCTGTTTATCCCTATTGAGTTTGTTGTAGAACGAAGGAGAAACAGGAAAGCAGTCTGAAAAAACTAAACTTCATTTCCTTAATTATTGGAGTCAAAGTTTAGAATGATTTATTGCAATAGTTGTTTTATAAAACTTAAGTCTTGCAAACACGGTAAAGCAGTGACTGATTTCTGCGTGTGTGCTCTAGGTTGTATCTTACATGTATTCTGTATTAGTGCCTTGTTTGTTCTATTCTCCCTCCCTCAATTTAGCCGAACACTTCTTGTTGGGTATAGGCAGTTTGTACCCAGTGCTGAGGACTAGCTGTCCTTATACAGTAAAGGCCAGAATTCTGCATTTCTTCATTCCTTGCTAAATAAAACGAACAGTAAACACAACAACCAACCTGACTCTTCACAATGGCACTACCAGACTGTGAAAGAATTGTCTCCTCTGCAGGAAATGTTTTCTCTTACTCCCTGTTTGTGCTGTGTACTTTTCAATTCCACTCTTGTTTAGTTGCAGCGTGCAATTAATAAGTGCATTATAGTGGCCTTACCTCTCCTTTATTTTAGAGCATTAATTGCCCTGTTTAGCCTTACCTCAGTAGGTCTTAATATTCTGTGCCAAAAATTGCAGAATCTGACAGTGTTGGGATTTTGGAATCAAAACAAAGATATGGAAAAACAACAATAAAAAAAAGCAGTTTACCCAACTAGCCTCTCTGAAGAGGCAGTTAGCTGCTTCCTCCTCACAAATTTAAGATGTCAGGTGGCTGAACGTAAATCAAGAAAATCAAGTTTAGTCTGGGCTGTGGCTGCCAATAATGCTGGATTAACTTTTCTTGCAAACACATTGAGCAGTGTTGCCTCAATTAGCAGGGGCTTGCGCGGTGCAGAGGGAGCTGCTGAGTTCCCTGTTCCTCCCACTGCTGGGAGAAGGAGCAGGTCTAGACCCTCTTTCCCAACCTGACTCTGTCCCTAAGAGGTGACGACCTTTTCCTAGGGCGATACATGTGCAAGAAAAGGAATGGAGAGCAGTAATTGTGGGATGCAGAGAGATGAAGAGCCTAAGCTGGCTTGGTTAAGGTGGAATGCACGAGGGCTCTCATGTCGAAGCCGAGGGCCTGCCCAATTCCTTGCTGGCTTTGCCCGGAGCAACTTTGCAAAGGAGCTCACCCATCAGGTTAGATTCCTATTTCTGTCCTGATACCACACCTTCTTTCCATGCAACACCTCACCCACTCCCTGTTTTCAAGTGGTGTAAGTTGCCATTTTTTCTTCTCATCCTAGCACTGACACAGGTGTCTGCATCTGGGCGGTGCTAAGAGCTGCATTTCCAGGCTTCCACAGATCTGGCTTGTCCCAGCAGCCTGCTTCTAGGTATGTCATGTGGCCAGGTGCAAAGCAGTAAAAAAGAGAGAAAATGAAGGTGGGCCAGGCCAGAGAAATAAAAGGTGCAAGAGACTAGGCTGAAAATTCAGAGGCGAAATGAAAAACACATAGGTGAGGAATGTGAGAGGAAGAGGAACAAAGCTAGGTGAGATGCATGCAGATTTCAGAATCAGAGATTTCCAAGGAAAAAGCAGGAAGTTATTTGAAAGGAAGGGCAGTTGGAGGAATTGTTCACTAAGCCCGTTACTAAAACAATTTTCAGTTGTATGTCAGGAAAGGAAGATGATTAGAGTTGGTTGACTGAAAAGGAACAGGAAACATTTGTGCTTCCCATGGCTCTCCTACTGCCTATATGTAAGCTGGTCCTCCCATGATGTTCCAACGCTGGTTCCTGGGTTCATTTTGGTGGCTTGAGTATTTCCCCCCTAAGATCAGATGGAAGATTTGTCTCTTTTTTTCTAGAGGGCATTAGTTTTCCTCCCCCACATTCTAGAAATTCCTCCACACATTCTAGAAATTCACACCAAACAGTTGCAAGTAAACACATGTGAAAGAATGGGTGAGTCAAAGCAGGATCGGAGAACATTGTCAGGTCTGGATTCCACAGCCTCAGTCTATATTCTGCATTTTGCATCAAGTGTATGAAAAGCAATAAAGAACAGGCTGGTTCACCAGGTGAATAACTCAATTATTTAGGAATGCCAAGATTCCTGGTATTTTTAAAGTATGAACTTTTTTTTTTTTCCACAGTAATGTCAAAATTTATGGCTTGGACCTAGGTATGAATTTTGTATTATAACAAAATGCAGTTCCACAAGTGGTAAGATGGTTAGTTCTATTTCATTTGGAAGTAACTGTGCTAGTGCTTTAATTGGAAAGCTGTGTGATATCAGGCTCTGAGCCTGTAATGCATTCTCCTCCCTTGCAAAGACAATATCCTGCCATTTACAAAGAATCAACTAAACTTTGAAGTTTAATGGTTTTATTCGCAAGGGATTTTGCTTTTGCTTTGTGTTGGTACTACATGTTAATTCTCTTTAAGGCATATTGTATTATAACTTTCTCTCATGCTGTGATTAATACATAGCCACATCTCACATTTACAAAATGCATATTTAAAGGTCTTCTATTGCTGTTCATAAATCCTTTAAGCAGCACTAGACATTGCAACGAACGTGGCCCCTGTGAATTTGCTGCCTCCATTATGAGTCTCCTAAAGACAATCAGCCAGTCTCTGCCTACACCCCTATGCCAAAGCCAATTTGGTCAGTATGTTCCAGTGGCTGTGTCTCAACCCCTGAAGTCACTTTATGTTACCACATAAAAAACTTGTACTTGATTAAAGCTAATTTAGTTCCATTTCTATGTGGAATAGAATCAGGAAGACAGCTTCAGGTCAACTGATTAACAGTTGCCTGGTTCATATACTTCATAAAACACTGTGTCATTCCCTGAATCCCAAACTAACAAAACATAACATCATGTTGTCAGGAGCAATGGATCTTTAGAAATTACACTATGTTTGTAAAGTGCCTTTTTAAGTATTGAGCAACACTTTTTGCTTGGAAAGTGCTTCTGAAGGCAAGAAGAAAAAACAAAGTTCCTGAAACATTTAAAGTTTGGCTTTCCAGAGGGTTTCTCCTTTGTTTGCTTGTTCTGTTGCCTAGAAACTGACCTAAATAAGACACTCCATGTAGACACAGTGTTCTCTGGTGGAGGCTCTCTAATGGAGAAGGGCTGTTTGATATGAGCAGAAACATAAAGCGAGTACGAAGAGCGAATGCCCAACAATCACTTTGTCAGCTGGCTTATGCAGAGATCTTTCTGGTTTGGCTTTAGTGTGAGCAGATAAACCTGTTGTTCATCTTTAATTTTGCCAGCAGTTTTGAATATTGTGGATAAACGCTCTTGTACTTCAACCTTAATCTGTCCAGTTATTTTAACCTATCTTGGTAGCAAGACATGCACAGCATCTATAGGTGTGGTGAACTTATAAACCTAGGTAGTGAGATCTGTTGACACACAGTCTACATCCCCTCTCCCACCATCATCTGTGGAATATCTGAATTTCAGCTATATGGGTTAGGTGGAATAGGGATAGGAATAGCACCTGCAACTGGTGATAGAAAGACAGGAGACCAGCAAGATACTGGAGTGTCACTTTAAATCCTGGGGATCCATGACGAACTCATCACAAATTGATAGACTTTATACATGTAATCTGTGGTCAAGTCACAAATCCAGCCTCTAGCCTGCAGTTCACTGGATATTTATGTAGCATTGACCACCCAAAACACTTCTGCTTGAGAGGATACTAATAATTTTTATTTTGGTTTTAGAGGACTGGAATCAAATATCACTGTCAGCAGCTACTGTACAGAATATGAAAAAACTTTTTCTTCTTTTTATTATGAATAAATTTTGGTTCTGGCAGTTCAGTATTGTACATTTGGTACAGAATGAGTGCTTCAAACCCACAAGATTTTCTTACCCATAATTGGATGAAAATAGCGCAGCTCTAATTTGTAGATTTTCAAGGCTATTTTACATCTTCTCTTCTACAACTTTAGGGATGACAACCTGTTTGGAAAAAAAAAATCCCAAACTAGCAATCTCTGTGTTCAGACTCTTAGGCCAAAGCCTTAACTGAATGCCTTATGTCTCATGAATAGAAATGGCCCGATTTCCAGAAACGCTGAATGTTCTCAGTGATCTCAATGGACTCTGAAGAGCACCTCTAACATCTGAAATTCGTGCTCCCTTTTTTTTTTTTTAACATAAATATGGATTTACAAGCCTAATTTTCAGAAATAGAGAATTGAGAACTTGGTCTGGAAAAAAATTGCACACTTAATTTCTTTATTCATTGATCTCTTCCTCATCATCTTCAAACGCTTCCTCTCCATCATTTGCTGTTGCTTCTTGATATTGCTGATACTCTGAAACCAGGTCATTCATGTTGCTTTCTGCTTCTGTAAATTCCATTTCATCCATTCCCTCTCCTGTGAACCAGTGGAGGAAGGCCTTTCTCCTGAACATGGCCGAAAACTGCTCCGAGATCCTTTTGAAGAGCTCTTGAATAGCAGTGCTGTTGCCAATGAACGTGGAAGCCATCTTCAGGCCACGGGGAGGTATATCACACACTGCCACCTTGACATTGTTTGGGATCCACTCCACAAAGTAACTGCTGTTCTTGTTCTGGATGGCCAACATCTGCTCATCAACCTCCTTCATGGACATGGGACCACGGAAGACGGTAGCCACTGTCAAATATCGGCCATGTCTTGGGTCACAGGCTGCCATCATGTTTTTGGCATCAAACATCTGCTGGGTGAGCTCTGGAACAGTGAGTGCTCGGTATTGCTGGCTGCCTCGGGCTGTCAAAGGAGCGAAGCCTGGCATGAAAAAGTGAAGGCGTGGGAAGGGGACCATATTCACTGCCAGCTTCCGGAGGTCAGCGTTTAGTTGGCCTGGAAAACGCAGGGATGTAGTTACCCCGCTCATGGTAGCAGAAACCAAGTGGTTTAAATCACCATATGTTGGAGTGGTGAGCTTCAGGGTGCGGAAGCAAATGTCATACAAAGCTTCATTGTCGATGCAGTAGGTTTCATCTGTATTTTCAACCAGTTGGTGGACCGAAAGCGTAGCGTTATAAGGCTCCACCACTGTATCAGAAACCTTTGGAGAGGGCATGACACTAAAGGTATTCATTATCCTGTCCGGATATTCCTCTCGTATCTTGCTGATGAGTAGGGTTCCCATGCCAGATCCTGTCCCTCCTCCCAGGGAATGAGTGAGCTGAAATCCTTGCAAGCAATCACAGTGTTCACACTCCTTTCTTACTACATCAAGTACAGAGTCGACCAACTCTGCCCCTTCTGTATAGTGTCCTTTGGCCCAGTTGTTTCCTGCACCAGTTTGTCCTAAAATAACATACAACAGGAAAAAAAATACATAAAATTATTGGTAAGGTTTGATATTTGAATGCTGAATGGATTCATATCTGTAACAAAAGCTGCTATAAATCTGTCAGGTGGATAACTGTGGTCTTCAGTTTTGCCTACTCTCATATATATATAGATATAATATTATGTTAATACTGGAAGTATCAACATAAATTTTTTAGTATCTGGTAGTTTTCATTTATGCCTTTGGGCATTTTTTTTCTTTTTTGGCATTTTACCTTCCATAAATGCAAAGGCAGCCTTGACTCCGTCTTTTGAAAGCTTTCACACTTCCAATCCTGATTTTTCTGTAAACACAAGATGACTGTTTAATATTAAAGAACCTCCTGTCTATAAGGGCCATGATGCATACAAAGCTAAACCACAGATGTATATTTCTAAATGAAAGGTTCTTGGACTGTTCTACGAGGTACAGAGGCAACACTGTCATTCAAAAATAAAGCTGGGCTTCACAAGTCCTATTTAACTTGTTATATCAGGACCTATAGCTTTTTTAATGTCATGAATGAAAATACTGATCAACAGAAGCTTCAAGACCATTACTTCAAAAACCTGGAAGTTAAGTGCCTTTTAGGTTTTACTGGTTTCCCTACAAACTCACTGTTCTTCAGGATGTGCAAAGCAACTTGCAAAACTGGATTACTGATGTTTCATAAACCTCTTCTTTTCTTCTACAAGGCTATTTTCCTTTTGTGTGCCACTCAGTTTATTAAGATGAACAGTCCAGATCATTTGCTATGCCACTATTTTGTTATTACTTAGATAATAAGGAGGATTAAACGGGGGATCAGTTTTTTAACATTCCTGTTCCTCACAGTGACTACTATATGCATACATTGTGCCTCTGAACTCACTCAGTGTACTCCTGTGAGTGGTATTCAGGAAGAGCAGTAGTTTCAGAATTAAGTGTATAGCTGACAAATTCTGAGTTGTTCTCCAAGACCTTCTCCTCCCTTCCTATTACCATATCTCATTTCAATTCCCAGTGCACTGTGTTGGTGCCAAACACATCAACCAGGGAAACTGCTGGCTGGGATATTTTTTAAATATTATGCACTTTATTTTCACTGCATAAATGCTTGGTTTCCTCATGATGTATTTGGTTAGTTAATGCATTGTTCTGCATGCTGCTATATTTTTCACTCTTTGAGCCCAGGGAGCTCACCACTTCCTGTCCAGCTGGGCAAAGCACATAGTAATATCCTTCCAGAATTAAATATGTTTGTAACCATCTGCAGTCTGCTTGAGCAGATCCCCTACTACAGATAGGGCAGCATGTCAGGATGCACACAAACAAACAGACCTCACTCCAAAATGCAGAATTTAGCTCTGTTAGGATCCTTCTGAGTTTAGGACTTTATCTTATAGGTTGCCCCTTGTGTAAACAATGTGTTGTTCTTCTTCAGTGGGCAGTGAGATAAGAAGTAGGGAATAGGAACAAAATACAAGGTAAGAGGAGAATGGCAATTACTCTAACAAATGTGAAAATTTTATTTTCATGGGAAAAAAAAATCAGTAGAAACTGATTTTACTTGCTTTTGCTTTGTTTGCGGATTAAGTTTGCAAAATTTAGAAGGCAGCATGACTAACACAGAGGTGGACCTATCCTCCTTTGGGCCCTCCAGTGTACTAGACTTCCTCAGCCTTACTCTGCATCACACAAATTCCAGGATGCCCACACAACTACTGCCATACCAACTCTCTCTATTGCACTATCACAATCTCTGTATCTAAACTGCTTCATGGAACTGTAGCAGTGGCTGCCAACACCAAAACTAATGGCTTCCCTCCAGTCCTCTATTGGCTACTACTGTGATAACACTGCACTTCTTCCACTAGTCAGCCATGTGCCTAGGGTCTCCGACATTTTCATTGGAGATTTTCTGCTATTTATACCCAGGAATCTTATATTTCCAGACCCACTAGCTATACAGCACTGTAAGACCACCACTAGCACCACACGCAACATGTAAAATAAGCCCTGGAAGCTCCAGACTTCTTATCCATGACAATACAGTGCAGCCTGGAGGTGCCAAGACTGCCATACACCCAGAAATCCTGACTCCCATCCTGCAAAACTCTACTGGATGGCCTCCACTTATCAGGTGCCTGCCTACCTACCTGACCTCTGAAAATCCTAAGCAAACACAAATTATCAAGTTCCACCAGGACTAAATTCTCTAGGTGGAAAATGAGCCTGTGTCCACATAACTCGGCACTGGGCAAATCTTTTGCCAGTCTTGGAAGCTCTGCGTTGTACACAGCCCATCTCTGACATACTGCCTCTGTCATTTCTCACTGTACATTTGTCAGGACCTAAAGAAGTCTACAGGAAGGAACCCCACAACTTATCTGCACTCTTGGCACTTCCAGATCCTTCTATCACTTTCTTTTTACAGCACACTGTAGGGTTATCAAAGACATTCAGGTTGAGCTGCACATGCAGAGAAGCCATTTGTGAATACTCAATGTATTTTTTAATCCCTAAAATGACAACTGTTTTCTGCAATCTTCTCTCACTCCTTTCCTCTCTTCACTGCTTGAAACAGAAGACGAACCTGGTAAGAAAGGGCAGTAGTTTGCACACTAATGCTTAGAATCCTATTGTGAACAGCCTTGCTGCAGAACTTGCCTGTGACTGCCTGACAGCCATTTTGTGGTTGCTCCCACCAGTTCATACAACTTAAATTGAAGTGGAATCTATGTAGCAAATCTAGCAATGGTGTACACAAAAAAGAAAGACAAATGCAAAAATGTACAAATGAAAACTGGTTAACGAGAAGAGATACACCAGAGTTCAGAGCAGTTCTTGGTGGGCAACTGTATGCTGTTAGAAGGCCAGGAGACCTGCTGGCTCATACAGCAAGATCATTCCACTGTGCTTCTTCACGTTCCAGATCACTACCTTGTCAACACAAGCATTAAAGTATAAGGATTGTTTTGTATCCATCTCAAATCTCCTGCTGGTCTGAGATAAATTCCCATATCTGGAATATGCAATCATGTACTCAGTATACCTGCATGAAATCCTAATTGATGTTCCATGGTTACTTGCAGAGGTGGAAAACATCTCCATCAGAATGAACCCTAACAGCCTGGGGTACAGCAAGTGTGGGACTGCCAGCTTTTGCCACAAAATCCTTTGTGGGCCCAGGCCAGATTTTTAAAAGAGAAAACAAAATGCTTTGTTGGCTTTTGACACAGAAGATCATTACTTCAGCGCTCAGCCATTCTACATTATTCAGCAGGTTGGGAGGACAGTGCCTGATGCTGGCAGGGGCCTCTGTCAGATACGAGTTGATCACATGCTGTTGGTTCATTGTTATCTTGGCAGGAAGGGAGTACAGTTAACAGGACTATTGTTGAAGACATTCTGAATTGATTTTGCTCTGGTTTTACTGGTGGTGTGCCAAACTGTAAAGCTCCAGTTCAGGTATTTCCATAGGTCAGGTGAATTCACTTTCAGAGGGCTTATGTGGTCCATGCAGGGGAAAGGGAATGAAAGGAGAAACCTGAATACAGAAACATATTTCATAAAGTTGACTATGTCTATGGCTTTTCTCCCTAAGCTTACTTCTACATGTTGTAACAGAGATCCTTTGGAAGAGACCCTTAACATCCATGCCATGGAATTTACAGGAGAACAACAGGGGATAGCATTAAAACTTGAGTCAAAGACTTAAAGGAACTCGGTATGGCTTTTTTACTTCCCACCTCAGCAGCAACAACCCAGACTTAAGTTTGTTTTATACCACCCAAATAATGTTTATCTTTTCTCTGTCCGTCCTTGGCATTGTTCCTTCCTTATGTTGACATGATATACCAAACTAAGTTCCAATCTAAGCTTGCCTTGTCAGAAGGAAATGTTTGTGGCTAGTGCAGACTTGGAAACCAAAAGGACACGAGAGTTCTCATGGTAGCTTTCATTCAGACTTCCTGTTTCAGAAAGTGGATCACTTAACTTCCACATGCTGTTTCTCCTTTAGTGCAAAGGAACTGATAACGCTTCTGTACTTCATAAGGCTGCTCAGAAAGGGTAATATGCATTTTTAAGCTTAGATGGAAAGTACCACAGAATTCCAAAGCAGAACAGTAAAGGCAAAACCAACCCTCTGCAGGAACACTGCAAAACCAGTTCTCCACATATTCTCAGACTGCTCCTCATTATGCTGGAAAATAACCCAGTAATGACAGTGTTTTCCACGTTACAGTTGGTCTTCTTCCACTATTACTATACTGTAAGGATCAACTGAGAAAGTTTAATTACACAGCCTAAAAACAATTCAATGCTCAAGCATTTAATAAGAATTCAAGTGAAGAGTAGTCTGGTTGGTTTGTGGTTGAGGTTTTCCCTCCCCCCTCCATTTTTCTGCAGAATTTCCATGCATTTGGTTGTAAAGAAGTGGCCTCAGGATTTCTCTGGAGTTCACATATATGGAAAGCAAATGTACTTTATCTGAACACCATAGAAAACTCTCAGCAGTTTGTTAATTGAAGGAATGATTTAACAGAAGAATGACTTTTTCAGTTAATGGGATATTTTGACTGACTTACAGATAATTGCAATCGCATTGTTAGCTATTAGGATTTATCAGTAGGATCATTTCAGAATAAAGAGATTAAATGCTTTTTGACCATTCACTTGCTAATCAAACAGCCGCTTTGTTTTTTACAAAAAAGAGCTCTGTTTTGTAAAAAGTAACATCCACATACCAAAGATGAAATTATCGGGCCGAAAGAGCTGACCAAAAAGACCAGATCGCACACTATCCATGGTTCCCGGCTCCAAGTCCACCAAGACTGCTCTTGGTACAAATTTCTGGGCTGCAATAAAAAGTAAGTATGCCCTTAATGCTCTGACACAGTTATAGCCCTTAATACAGAAATATGTCTCATACTGTTACTCTAATACATAGTTCATACATATATAAGTACTTCCTGTACAGAAAGTCATGGTGGTGAAAAACCCAGCACTCTAGCAACAAATCGATACAGCTTGAAAAACAGAGCTGACATCTTTTGGGTTCTATACATGGTATATAACATTCTGTAAGCTCTTTATTAGCAATAGATATGAGGGAGGGAAGTTTCTGATTAGAAAAAATAGTTTACATGTTCCTTACAATAAAGTAGGTAATATTTTCTGTGAATAACAGGGGGAGTAAAGTGTTTATGTTCAAATGATCTTAATACATCTCACAAACTTTAATGCTTGAAGGATTCTCATCCACTGAAAGAGCTACTTGATGTACACGGCAAACAGCATATCTACCACAAAGCACAAAATAAAAAATCCGTATCAAATTGAAATTGTTCAAGCAAACTCAGTTAAATAATATGAATTAACCCAAGCTGGACAAAAGATGAAACATTCACACTTGCAGGTTCGTGTCAATAGACCAAAGGACTCAAGATCTCCATTTTACACTGTTAACACCTTCCAACACCAGACTGACTCAGCGGATTTGGACGCTTCTGGCATCCTATTAATGAGTTACTGTTCAGTTCTCTATTACCTATGGCCCAACCTTCTCATTCATGAAATTAGAGACAGAGTACTACAGATGCAGGCTCATATAACCAACCATTTAATTTGAGGTAATTGACAAGATGCATCTGATGAAATAATCACGTGTTAGAAGAGCAAACCGTTGTGTTAAATAAAAAACAAAAGTTCACATCCAGACCCTAAGGACAGTCCCCTCTGCCACTTCTGTCTGCGGAGACAACACCCAATTATCCTAACACTTTGTAAGAAAGTAGATAGTATTTTCTGTGTGTAGTGGGTTGAGCCGGGTACAGCTAGGGGGCCTAATGGCATGCGAGGAGGGCGGCCAGATGTGCAATTGTCTCCCAGACTCCTGTGCCCCTTCCCACGGAGTCCCCTGTCCCGCTCCCCTACCCGTCCCACACTTACAAGATGATTCATTATAGTAGACATTGATCCTTTCCAGCTGCAGCGCTGAGTCACCGACATAGCCTCCGGCTGGGTCAATGCCATGCTCATCACTTATTACTTCCCAAAACTAAGGGAGGAAAAGCGAGAAGTTAGTTGGGAACTCCCCTGCGGAGCACTGGGAGCCCTGCCCAGCTCCCGGACGGGCGGCGGCCCCGCGGCAGCTGCCGGATTCCAGGCGTGCCCGCCGCCCCTCCCTGCCCGCGCCGGCAGCGAGAGCGGGGCAGGCACCAGGATTCAAATCCAACGGAGCAGCGGCAGCTGCCCCGCTCCCCGCCCGGGCGGGCTGCGCCGCCTCAGCGCTCCCAGGGGCCGCTCGGGCTGTGTCACCGCCTCCCGCTCCTGAACCTCAGCCTGGACGGTTTCAACGCAAAAATAATTTAAAAAATAATTTTTAAAAGAGGTCCCGTTTGGTTTGAGTACTTACCAAAGCCTTTTATGGTCACGGGGAGCGGTACGATGCGCGGTGCCCCGGGCGCGCCCGGCGCCGCTCGGCAGCGGCTCGCTCGGGGCACGGGCGGCCGGAGGGGAGCGGGGAGCGGCGGGGGGCACAGCCCAGCCCAGCCCAGCCCCGAGGGGTCCCACAGCCCCGAGGAACAACCGGGCGCGTCCCCCAGGCGCTCATAGGCTACGCCAGCGGCGGGCAACCAGCGGCTCCCCTTCAAGCTCACCTTGGTCCCGATCTGGTTTCCACACTGTCCCGCCTGGATGTGCACGATCTCCCTCATGGCTGTGCCCCCAGCTCTCCCAGCCGTGCTCCCGCTGTCCCGCCGCCCAGCCCGGCAGTGCGCACTGCCGGCCCACCGGGCGGTGCTTTATGGGCTCCCCGCACCCCCCCCCCGCCGCTCTCCCAGCGGCCGCCCCGGCCGGGACCGCCCTCGGCCCCGCGCCGGGACAGGGGCGGCGACACTACCCACCGGGTGACACCAACCACTCGCGCTGTGCTCGTCGGCAGTGGGGGTCCCGGTGGGGCCGCTTGCCCCATGATCTGCTGCTCGCCCAAACCCAGTTCGGCAAACGTGGGTCCGGCATCCTCACCACCCTCCTCGGGAGCCCTGCCCTGCAGGCGGACATCGCCGCCTTCTCCGGTCGTTCCTTGGGCAGATCGCAGCCTTCGCTGATGGGGCAGCGTCCAAAGGAGTGGATGGCCTTTCTCTGTGCCTTGCCAAGGACCATCTTCTTTGCATCGCTCTTTTCCGACGTGGTTTTGCCAACAAGATAAGCTGCTACTGAAAATTCTAACTGGGATGACAAGCACTCTCTGCAGAGCAACTTTGCTGAAAGCTCGTGTCATCACAATGCGGAGCATGCCCTGGGGTATGCATGGTTTAAATAGCTTCATTTTTAGTGAAAAAGAAGATTTTCTTTCACCTCCAGAGAGGAAACAAGTTCCCAGAGTTGCTGAATCTGCATTATGATCCCTTTGTGTAACTATTGCATGGTTTCCCAGGTAAAGGATGCCTGCTTTGATGCCAGAGTGACTCTTCCATGAGATGCCATTGTCTACGTTGTCTACAGGGCTATATTGCAGTATATAGCCCTGGAGGGAGGCATTCATCTGTCCATGCACATCTTTACTGCCTGACCTAGTCTCTGCTGTTGTGCAAGAGCAGCCCTTGGGCCAGAGTTATAGAACCTCCTTATCTACATGATCAAAGGTGGCCCAGCTGGGATCTCTTGGAGAACAATCTTGGGTACTCTTTATAACTTGAACACAGTCAAGCTAGCCCCCACCAAACAATATATAACCTCCAAATAACCCCAAATCTGTATTTTCGGAGGCACCTCCTACCTGTCTGCCCTTATGTTGGTGTGACATGACCAATGTCAGCTAGACTGTGTGCTCTGGGCTCCAACCTTGCCTTTCCTTGTCTTTCAGCAGGGCTAGCAGCTTCTAGCAAATTACCTCTGAGTAGCCCACAACCATCATGCTAGGCTGAGTCAAATGGCTTTCTGACATCAGTGAAGCAGCTGGAGGATCAACACATTTGCCTTGCAAGCATCCACCAGCAGAGGACTGGACACTATGTGCCTTCTTCTCTGATGAACTGTCCTTCTCTGTGTGATCTGCATTTTTGGAAGAGATCCATGAACAAGTCATTATTCAGCAGCCTTATTAGTGAGATTGTCTTGGACTTTGCCTGAATCTATATGTCTGTCCTTGAATATGCCTTCCAGGCCTGGCTTTCCCCATGCTTTGCAAATCCTCCCATTTACTGTTCGTACTTGCCATCAACTCTCCTGTTGCAATCATTTCTGCTGGTGTGCCAGTTTTTAAAATTCAGTTGGTTCCCAGATCTGGCTAGTGGTAAGGCTGAGTATGTGTTCCCAATAGGCACATGCACATACACACACACCTCCTCACACACACCTCCACATACATACATGGCTGTTCACGCTGACTGACACAGGCAGAAAACACAGCACTCATAAAAATACAAACAGCACTTACGGCCTCATCCTGTTCCCCTCTCTGGCTGATCTGGACAGAAGCTCATTAATGGAAAATAAATATGTATTTGTATATAGCTATGCAATATGGATCCCTTCAGTAGCTGGTCTTAGACACTCTTCTTATTCAGTATCTAACCTCTTGATCCCAAGTCTTCCTGGTTGCTGGCACCTGGAAATGTTATCCCAGAGGTTCACAGTTCCATCCCAGTTGCTGGTATTCAGACCTAAAGACATGCACAACAAACTATGGCTCCCTTCTCCAGTAGCTGGTCTTAGGACACTCAGCCTGTTCAGTGGCTGACCTCTGGATACTCAGTTATGTCACACAGAGACACAAACAGGCAAATAAGTTTCTTGGGTGGTCCAGACTTGTGACCTTACCAGTAGGTGACCCCACCACAGTCCCCCAGTAGCTGGTTTGGACCCCCTTGTCTCTCCAGTAGCCCCCTTACAGATCCTCTGGTCTCTTCAGTATCTTTCCTGGACTTATGGCTGCTCCAAAACTTGACTCCCACCTAGGCTGGCTTAGTGTTTACTAGTGACCACTCACTGATGTAGAGATGCATATAATGTGTGTGCTCTCTGGTCTCTCCAGTTACTTCATGAAAGATGCAAATCCCTGTGACTTCTGGCCCCCTCCTCTAATTGCTGACACTCAGACCACCATGCACACACATACACATGGAATATAGATGCCACTTTCACCCAGAAAACCAACTAAAATATATTTTAATAAAACAAAACAGACTGAGGTGATCAGGCGCAAGGCATAGCCAGACAAGCATACTGACTAACAACCTGTTTACACCTAACCAGGTCATTTTAGCCCTATATCCTTTTATTTTTCTATATCAAACCACCTTTACCACCCCTTTTTCCCACCTTTGATTCCTCCTCTAAACATCCCATAAGTCATCTTGTACAATCCCAAAGGTGCTCTTCCCCTCCTTCTCCTAAATATTCCCATACCATCACAGACAGTAACTCCTGTCTATACAGTGATCCATGGTTGCACTGCCACTGTCTATCATCTTAGAAAGGTTTGTCTACTGTTTGGGAGCAGCAGTTGGTTAAACACCATTTGGAGGCCAAAACTTCAGCCAGTTTCCCACACATAGAAAGTAACCCACTGTAGTGTGCGTAACACTGTAGAACCATGTGGGTGATGAAGGTGAGCTACAGTTTACCCAACAAATTTGCATCTCACATATACAAATTTTATAGTTACGTAAAACAACTTCTAATTTTCAGTCAGACCTGAATCAACTTGCAGTTTCTCCATGTTTTACTGCTAGTAATCTGAAAGAAGCAACGTTTGTTGGTCATTGAATGTAAATATGCCTTCAAATCCTTTTCATCCCTGCTTGTGTTTACGCAGTAGTTTAGCTGACTTAGGAGGTGGAGGTGCCATTATAACCTCTTTCATTCTCCTGCACATTCTCCTTAATTCTCCACAGACTTGGCCTAGGATTTTAAAGGCACTTAGGTGTATCAAAATCCTACTATGTACTTAAATGCTATGGATTACTTCTGGATGTATTTTAAAACACCACTAAACACCTCTTGGAAATGTAAGGCACCTAAATATCTTTAAAGATTTCTCTCTAGGTGCTTCATCTGATTGAGTCCATAAGATTCATTCTATAAAGAGATTAATGTAGAAACACACTGTAGATTTGGTACAATGGATTTTCACTTGTTATATCTGGCTCTCAGATACCTATAATATATATAGACCTCTAACCTTCATAACTCATAGTATTTTTTTACTTCCCACTCACTTAATGGGTTAATTTAATACATAAAGTATGGCTTTTTTCACCATGCACAAAATAGGAAGAGAGTTTTTTTAAGATTTCACTTGCAGATTTACTCTCTTCATTGTTTTTCCTTTTTTACTTCCTTTTGCAATTTTAACTTCAGTTGTTGAAAAAATCAATTCATGTATTTAACCAGAAAAATTAGTAAAATGTCACAATACCTGCAAACTATCAGCTCAAGTTTGTAAACTCATGCTCCAGACAACCTCTTGAACAATTGGTTTACATCACTTATATTCTCAAGGCTAAATACTAGAAGAGGTCAATTTTTGCATTTTAGGGACTGGCATGACCATTTATGATAGACAGGACGTGGATTAGGAAGATCTGGCTGCTAGGCCAAGTCTGGATTAGTCTGCCATTTTTAACAGGGAAAAGCATTTCCACTGGACAGCTCTTTGGTGCTTCAATGTGATGGGCAGACTCCACTTGGTTCTTTTTTCCTGTTAGTCAGAACTAGCAATGTATCAGAGAGTAACAGCAGATGAAATACTCATATTGCTCTTGTGCCAGATCCAGCGGCCTTGAAACAGTTGTGTACGTTCACAGTCAAGACCAACTGATGGGGCCACATGGGGTTGCAGAGCTTTCAGTGTTCTTTCTTCAGCCTTTCTCACGTACTCATTGCTCATGCACAGGCTAAACAGAAATGGATTCCTACAAGATGATGAGCTTCACAAGGCAGGACAAAATGTATGAAGTGCCCATGCTGCAGAGTAAAATGATTTTCCAGTAATAGCAGCTCAAGCAACGGTCATGTCCCACAAAGTCACATGGAAATTTGCTCTAATGCCCTGGAAAAAACCCAGCAAAGTTCTTCTCTATTTAGCTAGTCATATGATATGATTGTTAAGCTGCTTCCTGCTTTTCAGGAAACACATTTGTGTTTATATCACTGTTGTTGCTAGGACTATTTCTATTTACTGCAGTTTTTAAGGACTAGAGAGAAATTCATGTCATAGCAGAACAGCTAACATGTTAGCAACTCTTTTCTTTTTTCAGAATGATAAATATGCTGTATTTTGATACTTAAGAATATCAGCAAGGGTCTGTCCAGTGATGCAAAGCTTGTTATCACTTTCATTAAATACTAAAGTAATAAATATAATCCACATGGTGGATTTACTCTGATAGCTTGTTGCAGGCTAGTAAATGCTACTAACTCCATGGTGACTCTTAAGAGGAAGGTCCAAAGACCAGTCTAGTTCCCATCTTTCCTTTTTAGTCTGAAGATTTTCATGCAAGTTAAAAAAGGAAAAAAAATCTTAAGCCATTTTGGCTTTGGTTTTTTTGGTATTCTTTGGTGTTTTGTTTGTTTGGTTGGTTTTCAGGGGAGGGGTTGTTTTGTTTTGGAATTTTTTTGGTGGTTGTTTGGTTGTTTTTTGGGGGTTTGGTGTTTTTTTAATTGGTGTTTGGGGTTTTTTTTTGTTGTTGTTGTTGTTGTTTTTGCCTGGCTTCCTGAGAAAACCAAGCATGGAAAGTCATGCTCCTGTTCAAGTGTGTATATATGTAT